AAAAAAAAAAAAAAAAAAACCCTGAAAAAAATTAAGCCCTCATTTCCCCTGAAGCTAAAAAAAAATAAGTAAAAGGCTCTGCCTCTTGCTTTTGTTGATGAAAACATTTACTATAATGGTCACAAAATAAAGAATATAGTTCTGATAACTCATTACAAGCTGTTCACGAAGAAAATCTCTGAGGTAGAAGGAACAATGGGCAAGGCAACCTCCCACTGTTCTAATGGCTTAATTGCAAGCACCAGTTTTCACGTCCATAAATAAGTGGTTAGACCAGATGATGTGGGTGTAGGTCTGTCTCAACTCTAAATATGATTCTACATATGCCCTGGAGCCTGCGTCTTATAAAAAGTATTCTTGTATCTTCAGGTGTTTAAAATACATTCTGTAACAACCGCATTTCTTCTCAATATTTAAGTCACACACACACACTCACACTCACTCACACACACTATTCTGCTGGGAGTGTATGTGGCACAGGGAAAAGTGAATGTGGATAATAAGATTTCACAACATACTAGTCATCACCACCACAGAGATGAAAGGCATACTGGAAGAAGTCACAAATTCAATCAGCAAATATTTATTGGGTGCCTACCAGACCCTTATTGCTTAGGATGACCATGCAAACGACTGCCCAGTCTATGATACTTCCAAGGATAAAAGGGAACCCTAAAATAACTGAAATGATACATTTTTGAAATACTTATTTACTGAATAACGACTTTGTTTCTTTACATTCGTTGATTTGTAAGACAGCTCAATTTGAACACTTTTCAAAAATAAAATTCTTTTTATGCAATTAAGTATTAAGGGGTGAAGGGATATGTGTTCAATGTACTCTCGGATGGTTCAGAAAATAAGAATATGCATATAGAAAAAACAAGATAACACAAATGAGGCAAAATATTAAAAATTAGTGAATCTGTAAAGTACACAAAATGTCTTTTATTAATACTGCAAATTTTCTATAAGCTGTGAATTAGCTTAAGATAAAAAGTTAAAAATACATAAAAAATGAACAGAGGCACCCATTTCAAGTAGGAATATGAATTTATCCAATTAAAAACAAAACAAGAGTTTCTTTTTTTAAATTTTTCATGTTTTTTTGTTTATTTTGAGAGCGAGCACACACAAGCGGGCGAGTGGCAGAGAGAGAGGGGGACAGAGGATTTGAAACAGCAGGGAGGGGGAGAGAGAGAGAATCCCAGGCGAGCTCTGTGCTGTCAGTGTGGAAACAAACCTGGGGCTCAATTTCACAGACCCCAAGATCACAACCTGAGCTGAAACCAAGAGTCAGACACTTAACAAACTAAGCCACCCAGGCACCCCAAAAACAAGAATTCCATCAATAAGAGACTCTTCCCTGGGGCACCTGGGTGGCTCAGTTGAGCATCGAACTTTAGGCTCAGGTCATGATCTCATGGTACGTGAGTTCAAGCCCTGTGTCAGGCTCTGTGCTGACAGCTCAGAGACTGGAGCCTGCTTCAGATTCTGTGTCTCCCTCTCTCTGCCCCTCTCTTGTTAATGCTCTCTCTCTCCAAAAATGAATTAACATTAAAAAAAAATTTTTTTAATGAACTTCCAAAAGTTCTGAGTCCATCAAAAAATTAGTCTTTTGAATTAAATGATTTTCTGTTTGAAATAGCTGACTATAGCATCATTTAACTATGTGCAAAGTTCTGCCATTGGAGCCAACACATTAACAGCTATGACTTTATTCTTTTTATGTGAACAAGAAAACATGGAATAAAAAATGAGCAAAATTGGGGTGCCTGGCTGGCTCAGTTGGTAGAACATGTGACTCTTGATCTTGGGGTTGTGGGTTCAAGCCCCATATTGGGTGCAGAAATTACTTAAAAATAAAATCTTTAAAGAAAAAAATGAGTGAAATTACTTTAGAATCTATGGTGAAAAAGTGCAGAATAGTGATTGCCCCTAAGGGAAAAAATAGAAATTGACTAGCACAGAGTACCAAGGAACTTTCTAGGTAATGGTAATGTTCTATATTATAATAGAAGCCTAAATTACACAGGTATATGCATTTAGCAAATGTACACTTAAAATTTGTGCATCTCACCATGTTAATTTTATAAAAATTAAAGCAAACATTAGACTCTAATGATATACTTCTAGTTGGGTGGCGTGTATATACATGTGTGTTATATACATATATATAGAGAGAGAGAGAGAGAGAGACGATGACATATTTAGGGTAATATGTACTGATGCTTGCAATTTACTTTGAAATGCATCTAAAAAATAAGATTTTTTTAATGGATAACTAGAAGGATAGACAGATACATATGTGAGAAACGTAAGTTTACAATGTTAATGATACAAATCCAGGTGATGGGTATGAGTGTTCACACGAAAATTCCTTCGGCTTTGCTGGATATATAAAAATTTTCACAGTAACATACATATTAAAAATTTTAATTCAGAACAATAATTTAGTCTACATGAAAAACCACATATGCCAGAATGATATGTAAATGCACCACTATAGCTGCACATGTTAAGTTATTATTTTTAGACATAACGAGTAATTTACAACCAGTAATTTACAAAGTAGGTGCTTTGGCTTTGTCAGTAGATTTGTGTGTTCTGGTGTTTATGTGGTCACAGATATTTCTATGCCCCTTGCGGATGGTAAATGATAACCTTTTGTGCAAGTTATATATCATCATCAACTGTGGTGAGAAATCGAAATTTAATACTTCTTCCTTAAGCATGTACTTCTTTATTTCTTTCTAGTTATTTCAGCCAAAAGGATTCATTGTAAAATTTTTGATTACTAAATAGTAAAATAATTATAAGTTGTCGATATGCACTTTACAAAAAAAATATAAAACCACTATAGGAAGTGGAAGACTACTCTCTCTATGCAGGATTGCTCACTCACTATTTCCCATATATATTTTAAATAAACCTGACCTATAATTTGCCAGGTTTCCCACTGACAAATCAAATGGCAGCCTGGCAGCTTAGGATATATCAGGACACAGCACAATTGGCTGATAACTCGGAGAGACCAGCAGGGCAGAATGTCGATGCTGTTCCCTCCACTTCCCAAGACTGTAAGGAGTTAGTTGCCCCCAGAATTGTGTCTGCCTGGAATTGTTTTATCAGCAGGTATTTTATCACCCTGTATACTGTCCTTGAAAAATCATTTATTTACATTTAGGGAAGGTCAGGAAAAGAGGCACAAATTATTATTGGTCAACTTGATATTAAAGTAAGAACTCTTTAGTGTACATACATCTCAGAGGAGACAACAAAGGAAACTAGAAATACAAAGTATTTGGTCAATTAAATCGATCTTAACTTATTTTAATTTTTTTTAATGTTTATTTCTGAAAGACAGAGAGAGACAGCATGAGCGGGGGAGGGGCAGAGAGGGAGACACAGAACATGAAGCAGGCTCCAGGCTCCGAGCTGTCAGCACAGAGCCTGACGCAGGGCTCGAACCCATGAGCCATGAGATCATGACCTGAGCCGAAGTTGGATGCTTGACCAACTGAGCCACCCAGGCGCCCCCACCTTAACTTGTTTTAATGCAACTATTAATATTTTGTTTAAAAAGTTTAAAACTCAGGACAAATGATAAATCATTCAGGATGCTGGGGCACCTGGGTAGCTCAGTCAGTTAAGCGTCTGACTTCGGCTCAGGTCATGAACTCACAGTTTCAGTTCAAGCTTCGCATGGGGCTCTCTGCTGTCAGCACAGAGCCTGGAGCCTGCTTCAGATCCTCTGTCTTCTTCTCTCTCTCT